ATTTCCATTGGTCTGGCGCAGAAATTGAAATATGGTAGTCACAGGGTGCATAGGAGCTTGATACCTGAAAAGGACTGATTGCAAAGTGTTTAGAACTATTAATTTAAGAAGCTATCTGATTATCTTCGATTTTGAATGCAGTATAGGTTTGGTAACCCGCATCAAAAGTAGAGACAATTGTTTGTGTATCGGAGAAAAACAAAGAATGGCCCCAGAAATCACGAAAAAAAGTATAACTAGCCTCATAAAGTCTTATTTGATTATGGTCGCTTTTATCGAAAAATATAACAAGTAAAGTATAATTATAGCAAATCATTTTGATTATTATAAAAAATGGCTAGTTTAAGCACCTTAAACTTGTTCTTTACCTTAATGGCGAACAGCAGGCCGATGTAGGAGAGAATGGGAGGCAGACGGATGACGCCCCACATAACTCGATAGGTCTGAAAAATCGTCAAATCGGCACCCGAACTAGTAGGACCTGAATGGAGTTCGTCAAGCTCCGAGGTGTTCTTATCAGTGGCCATGGTCTATAAACGAAAGATGAAGAATTGATAAAACAAAGAGAAATAAGGAAGTAGGCAACTGCAAAAGAAAATAAGTTAAAATGTGACTCAATACTTGATTTCAAAATAAAAGTCGGCTGCTTCGGTAAAATTGCGCTAATTGGCTAATCATAGGTTTGATTAAGTGTAGGAAGAGAAGAGCACAAGCTTCGACTGTCGTTCATATAAAAAAATGAGTATCGCAAACTCTCTCAATAATATTAATATTATTAATTTAATTTATTCTTTCGGAGAAAAGTGGCTGATTACTTGGTTGCATAATGCGAAATTAACAATCTCTTTAGTTAAGTCCTCTTTTCGAGAATTTTAGGACCCTCTGTCGAAATCAGGTTACAAAAATATGAAAACCAAGATGGTGTGACCTTGTGTATGGTCGCAGTTTTTGCTCATTTGCTAATGTCTATGTGGGAGAGAACTGCCGACATATCGAGAGGAGATTATCTGAACATGAGGCCGCCTACAGAGGGCTATAGACAGAAAATATGAGCTGAGTTTCGAAGTCTCTTAACGGATGAATGTAGGTGTCCATTCATTTCGCTTGGAGAGGTAAGTGGAAGAAATTCGTAAATTGGCCTCACCATGAGCCGAGGGAGGACTTCCTTGCGATTGTGACTGTAGATTTGGCTAAACATGGCCTTAGCTCATCGGTCCTCGGCCCCAAAACAAACGTGCTGAATTTTAGTCTATTCCTCCGTGTTAGACATTATCAGAATCAGAAAAAATCATTTAGGAAAAATTCACCCAAAACTAAAAACTAACCAAACTTTCACATTTAAGGAAAGACATTTCAGCATCAAATCATGGAGTCCGTCATTAAGATCGGAAAATTAAACATGTGAAGTGAGTAAGATTGCAGTAGATAATCCTTTTTTTAATTTTTGTGTAGTTAGAATTTCTTTTCGTAAATGTTGATTTCTAGTCCTGACGATATCTGTCACATGACAGAGAAAAACTCAGCACAAATTCATTGGGGTCATAGGATGGTGAGCCGAAGACTTCTACGCTGAGATCAAGATTAGCCACTCCAAGGAAATCCTCATTGGATTTTTATTGAGACCAATTCACTGATCCCTTCAAACAGATTTTTCCGTGTAAATTAAAAGTCAAGTTATATTTGGCTAATTCATCCAGCCTATTCTAGCTGCGCCTTGAAGCCGGGGGGCTTCATAGTTAGTTTCGCTGGAGAAGTTTAGGAGGTGAGGCGAAGTCAAGACCGTAGTCAAACCCCGATAATGGCATTTCGTTTTTAATGAGTTTTCGAGACTACCAGTAAATCAGATTTATAAGCTGTGTTCACCCCATTGCGTTTAAGGTTATGTAGGACTGTTAGTTGAATTTTCCCACAATCATCACATTAAACGAAATAGAATGAACACAGCTCATATATCTGATTTATGAAAATCTCGAAAACCTATTCAATGTCGCTTCATCGATAATCCCATCACAGAATGTCATATGGTAAGATTTCTGGCCTTTCTTGGATTCCACATGCACCCTGTGATCCAAGGGCACCCGTTGCAATGTGGTGTAGTCATTCACGTATCGAGATTATATGCTGCATCGTCATGGTTCGAGTTCCGCTGGGGATGTTGATGAGACCTGGGCAGAGGTCGAAACTGCCGCCTATGATGGTAATACCTTTTGTGAAAGCGAGGCTATGTGAAATTCAATGGAAACGTCATGTCTATTCGTGTAATTGTCAAAATTAAAATCATCATCAAATGCCGAATAAGTAAGTGGAACCCATTGGGGCTGTTGTTGAGTACCGGCCGAGGTCGAGACTGCAGTCTATGGAGTATAAGAAGGCTCTATTGAGAGGCGATGCAAAATGAAATTCAATGGCATCGTAAGGCTCTCCACTCAGTTCATTGTGGCCTATCCAACTACCAATATCTAATTCCTCTCTAACGACACATGGTAACTCGAGCTCTAACACAAGAGCTGCGGACAGTATGAACCTGCAATTTGGATTAAAATATCGTTAACTAGGGTTGTAGACTTTTATGGCTCTCGGATCGGATGAAATGACCCCCGAGTTAAGGACGTGAATAAGACGTGATTATTATGGATCATAGTTTCAATGCGCGAAGTACAATGGCAACCGCTACAGGAGTGAGAAGGGTGTGTCAAAGTATGTAAACATTCATAGAAGTCTGTTACTTTGGGAATGAATACAATGTCCTGAGAAGTTGTTTTGTGATAAATTATCGGTCAGTTCACTTTTACCCGAAAGTGGTTGTATCGGAGCATATCTTATTTCCAGCTGAGTGAAAATTGATTAAATGTAGTTAACGAACCGACATTAGATTAACTTAATTAACTAATAGCATAATTTCTCGCAATGGGATGAATAATCTTCTCGACGCCGTCAAATTACGCAAAGCCTTAACTGCCAAAATATTGTATTGGCCCGCATGGACTGAAGTTTCAACTTTGCCTTATCGTATCATCAGTACCTGCGAGGGAATTCGAAATCGAATAGTGAGCATCGTGGCGACACCTTCCCAATCCGCTGCACAACCACGAGTGAGAGTTCCATTAAATCATAGACAGAGTAGATGTGATGCTAGGCAAGCCAGGTCTGTCCCAAATCACACATTTATAGTGGGTTTGCCGATAGAGCTAAGGTGCACACGACCTGGTTTCAAATCCAGTTAAAGAGGTAGATGCGATCAGGTGAGGTCAAACGTTTTTGAGGGGCAAGAATGCACGAAACCTACTGAAATCGTGAGAACCAGTTATGTCGTTGTAGGTATAAGTAATAAGAGACATTTTGTCTTCAAAAATAGTATGTAGCAGAGAAGTCTTAGTATTGCCTATTGAAAAATCTCAAATCAACTTGATATGTCAATGGTCAGAGTTATCCGCCTAAAACTGACAACTGCGCCAGCATCAAAGTCCCAATAAAAGAAAACTAAAACCACAGTAGTCTTCCGATGAGATCGACCTATGACACTTTCGATGGGACGAAAGCAAGCTACCCATTCAACATTTCAACAGTCAAGCATGAATTATGATGCTGTGATTTTTAGATGAAAGATTCCAGGAGGGAATTACACATCAGTGGTGAGGTGCAATGAAGGCTAATTAGGACATTGATCATTACCTAGTTCTTACCAGTGAGGGGTTATAGGAGAAACCATCTTTTAGTAGAATACAAGTGGGCCTTGCGACGTAGTCTGATCTCGTTTTCGGAACTTGATCCTGCTGCCACAGAAACTTAGTTGGACGCACCTTGTCCGAATTTCTCTGCAATTGTAGATACCATATTTCCAAGCGTCGGACCAAGAGAATTGTCTCTTTGATGAGTTGTAGCCTAGTGCTGTCTCACTGACAATGCCGACGAAACGCCTGAGA